AATGCGGCAAACGGAAATACACGGATCCCTCTCAACAACTGCAGAATCCTTCAAAGGTCTATCTTATCCTTTCATCTCTTCTTCTTCCACACTGACGACCGATGATCACCAAATCAATATTTGTATGCAAAATATGCCAATGATATGGTTACTGGTCGTCCTCTCCAAAGTCAGACACATCTCCAGGTTCTGAAAGATTGCCTGGACCACGTCCCGGTATGGTCGTTAGCCAATGGTCTTCTACTGAATAATGAGAAGTCAGTTCACCACGTTTTCCGAATGCAACCCAGTCCTGAATCCTTAGACATCCTGCCCAATAAGATATCCTCCTTCCGGTACCTTGATGTTACTCGCACCTCTAGTTATTCATTCTTATTTCGCATTGTAACCCTCTTCGTTAGAAAGTGTAAACTTCCACATTATATCCGTCGGTTAAGTTCCTATCACACACCTCAAACCCTAACCTGGTGATTCATAGAGCCTTGCGTTCTCCCCCTGATTATCTACTGCTGTCCGCTTATTCTTCCAGCCTTGCTTATAAAAGACTAGTTAATTTTTCAACGTATCCTCCGAATGCTTCCTTAAGCTGATGGTGTTTCTTGTGTTTTTTTAGATGATAGTATGATAATATAATTATAATATAATATATCAAATTCTTAATGAGGTTGCCAATCCGCTCCTGTCTGAATTAATGGCTGCGAAGTCTTTCCATATTGTGCGCCGAGGCTTTCGATATATTGCCTGCCGTACATCGGCATATCAGCATTCTGTACTCCCATTCCTAGCACGCTACTTCATGTATGAGGAAACTGAAATCCAGGAGCTGAGATTACACCTGCCGCCATAATAGATGTGGAGGATTTTATGTAAACCTCTAGAGTTTTTTGTTAATTTATCCCCCGGTTTTACAGTGAGTGGGACCATTCTGTGCTGAAAATTTTGGATGCCACCTTCAAAATAAAGCGTACTTTTTCTCTCTCTCTCTCTCTCTTTAACCTTGTCGGTAGGTTGGTGAAACGACTGAGTGAAATTCCTCATGCAGCGCAACTTTTACTTGATACAGCTGTGATCATGCCTGATTTAGCTGGCCTTAATGATGTAACTGACGGTACCTTTCCGCGCGTGACGATTGGTGGCAGCAAATCTGGAAAGCTCCACCCATTCTCTTCTCCAGCGACGGAGACCGAAAACCAAAGGTCCAAGAACCGCTTCCATGCCTTGACGTACGGTGTCGAGCCAGGTCTTGAGTTGCCCACCTCTTCGATGCCTCTAGTTGGGCTGTGGCGCCGGATCAAGGACAGCGCAGCAAAGTTCGTGAAGCGGACGACGAAGAACGGCCCCAAACCACCTCAGTCGCCTTTCTTGAACGGC